AACTATTTTTTTCTCTCAGTGTAGTTCGCTAATTAGCTGGAAAAATTATTCAAATTCTGAACCTAAATCAAATGTAAAGAAATTGCCATAAATTTGTCATCTCAAGAAATGCCTTACCTTATTTCTTAAATCAATCAATTGACGATTCTAAATCTATGCTCTTTCGTGTTTATATTTTCCAGTAAATTAATATACTAATTATATAAAATCGACATGTAATTTGATTGCAATTGTTTTACATTTTCTTGACGAAATTCCAGGTGGTCGCCCGGGACATCGACTCGCCCAAGTATGCTGTGGTGCGGTACGAGATCCTGGGCGGCACTGGCAAAGGCCATTTCAGCATCCACGGGGATACCGGCGAGATCGCGTCGGACGCCAGCTTCGATTACGAAGAAGCGAACGAGTACAGTCTCGATATCGTCGCGTCCAATCCGGACTCAACCCCGCAGATGGTCGGCTTCACAACCGTGGCGGTGCGCATCACCGGCGTGAACGAGTACTATCCACACTTCATCCAACCCATGTTTCACATGGACGTGTCGGAGAGCGCCGAGGTGGGCACGTCGGTCGGCGTGGTCCAGGCGACCGACCAGGACTCGGGCGAGGACGGCCGTGTGTACTATCTCTTCGTGGGCTCGTCCAACGATCGCGGCTTCTCGATCGGCTCGGATACCGGCATCATTCGAGTGTCGCGTCGGCTCGACCGCGAGACGCAGAATCGCGTGGTGCTGACGGTGATGGCGAAGAACGGCGGTGGTATACGCGGCAACGACACCGACGAGGCGCAGGTGATCATCTCCATCCAGGACGGCAACGACCCGCCCGAGTTTCTGCAGAGTACCTACAACGCCAACGTGTCGGAGGGTGCCACCCACGGCACCCGCGTGCTCACGGTCCGCGCGATTGACAAGGACATCAAGCCGCAGAACAATCAGTTCTCGTATTCTATTATCAGCGGTAATCTCGGCCAGGCCTTCAAGGTCGATCCGCAGACCGGCGACGTCGAGACAGCGAAGCAATTGGATCGCGAGACCATACCCGCGTACGATCTGACGATCGGCGCGATCGACACCGGCTCGCCGCCGCAAACCGGCACCGCGATGGTGCACATCGAGCTGATGGACGTGAACGACAACGGTCCGGTCTTCGATCCACCGGAGGTAGTCGGCTACGTCAGCGAGAACGAACCGGCGGGTACCAACATCATGACTTTGAGCGCGACCGATCCCGATCTGCCGCCCAATGGCGCACCGTTCACCTACAGGTTGATCGGGGGAAGGCAGAGCGACATGGTGATCTTGGACAAGCATTCGGGTATACTGAGAACCACCAGGAGCCTCGATAGAGAAACGATGCCGCAGCTGGATCTTATGGTCGGTATTTAAAAATGCAATTTCAACCGTTTATCTTAATTGTTTGATCAGAAAAACTGATAAAACAGTTTAGAAAATGTTTAAATCTCTAAAAGTTACACACGCAGAAAGCACGCGCCATTTTTCGAAGCTCTATGTAATTGATAAAAATCCAGATAAATAATTCTGTAATTTCTGATACGTTTCGAAAAGAATTTCTAATGTAAAAGCAGCGATCGATCGACTTTATGAAACTTAGGCCGGTATTCATAGTCAGATCTTATATTTAAGACCGTCTTAAGTTTATCTTAAGATGCTGCATGGATTTCATTGGCTATAGAGTCTCTAAGGACGATTTTAAATATAAGATATGAATGCCGCCCTTATTAATCTCTTTCTTTGCATCAATTGAAAAATAAAATTTTTTGATAGAGTTCTTGAAACGCTCTTCAAGATTGTTAAAATGCCAGATTTCTGCAGAAAAGACAATGCAGCAAGTTTCCGAACAGCATTTTAATTTATATGTAGGGTAAAGTGACCAAGTTCGGATTAACAATTTGATGAGTCGCTAATAAGCGACACAAAAACACGTCGATGCCTTTTATGATGTCGACAGTATAGCATAAAGTTGTAAATATGTAAAGGAGCAAAAATTTAAGCGAATTACCTTAAAATGTCGCTTATTAGCGACTCATTTGGTATCTGATCCATTTGGTCACCTCACCCTATTTGTGGACAGAACAAAGCATTTGAATTTAACGAAATGCACTTTCGTGTGTAGATTGAAGTGGAGGATTCGGGCGTACCCCGAATGAAGAGCGAGCACACGATCGTCGTAGTCGTCACCGATCAGAACGACAGTCCATCCACACCGAGGTCGGTTCACGTGATCGTGTACTCGTTTAACGGCGTGACACCGCTGGGAAAGATCGCCGACGTGCATCCGAACGATCCGGATATCACCGGGTTTTTCTCGTGCAAGATTCTCCAAGGCTCGAATTCAAATGTGCTCACCATCCCCACTGCCTGCGACCTGCACACCAACAAGATTTCATCAGGCACGTTTCGTATCAATCGCAGAGTATCAGAGTTTCCCGAGATTTACAAGGAATTTTTCTCTTCTCAACCACATTCTTAACTTTTAAAACATACTAACTTGTCGATGTGCCTATTGGGCATAACGTCACAGAACGTTACACTTTGGTCGAGGCTTAGATACATTGACTGATGTATCTCATTCGCAAGGTCGTATCTCGATTTTACGCAATTTTCAGTTTTTCTGTTTGAACGCTCATTTTGGTCCTAAATGAGCATTTAAGAAGAAATACCGAAAATTGCGTGAAATCGAGATACAACCTTGCGAAAGAGATCAGTCGATATTTCATCTATTAATAACATTGATTTATTTCCGGTAAAAATATACGCAAGATGTTTTTTAACTAATATCTTGACTGTGTTGGTACAGCAGTCGGCTATTCTTTGAGTGTCTCCGGTAACGATGGACGACACCCGGATGTGGTCTCCAAGGTCACCGTCGAGTTCCTGATCTTCTCGAACGCCACGATCGAGAACAGCGTGACTCTGCAAATTAACAAAATGTCCGCTAATGATTTCCTCAGCCAATACTACCGGGCTCTCTTGGATCTTCTGCAGGGGAAGATCGACGTTGGCGACACGCTCACCATTTTCAGCATCGGTGAAAACGGACCGGACCTGAACGTTCACTTGGCGGTAGAATCCCCGCAAGGTAAGTTAAAAATATATCACAATTGAATATACTCAATTATCAGTTATGTACATTCATCTGTTCAATATTGTTGATTGTGTCACAATTCAAAAGTATTGAAAATTTATTATATTCATATTACCGAGATTCAACATATTATTTATTATATACACGTCAACAAGATAATACAATTTTGAAAATCTTTTATTCACTTTCCTCTTCAGGGCGAGATACGTACCGGACGAGGTACGAGGTGATCGACCTGCTGATGCGCAATCGAGACGAAATCCAGAAGCTGCTCGAAGGTAACTCGTTCATCATCGGCTATTCCCCGTGCAAACATATGCCGTGCGAAAACGGGGGCAGCTGCAGCGACCGATTGGCTATATACGACGACGCCAGGATCACCGACAGCCAGGCGCTGATCCTGACGTCGCCCAGGATGCTACACGAGATGGCCTGTAAGTGTCGGGATGGCTTCACCGGTGACAGATGCGAGAGAAGGCAGGATCCGTGTTCTCCGAATCCCTGTTTGTTGGTGAGTACTTGTAGAGGAAAGTCACCTATTATGCAATGGGATTCTATTATGGGATAGCAAGGTGTCTGTTAAATTAATAGCCATCATCAGTTGATTCCACCATGAATTTATTGCCCTTGGAGCGAAGTCTGTTTAGTGGAAAACTCATTGTTAGTTGGTGTAATCGTTACGAAAAAAGATTTGAATTTGGGTGCTGAAAATCTGCTATCTTATATTAGAAACCTGTCTCTCATCGTAGAGCAAAGTCTAACGTAACATGAAAGTAATTAACATTGCCAATGTTGCAACTATATTAATGTAACTTTTACAATTAATACGTATAATCTATCGTAGTTATAACGTCGGCAAGAACGCGTTATCTAATAAGATAAATATTAAACTCTATATATGACATGTGCATGTGTATGCATATTTTTAAATTATAAAATTTCCTAAATACTTTTTGTGCTTGGAGACTTGTTTTTTCTCGCTTAAATTCGTTATTCGCAGCGCTTCTTGAAAATTCGATATGAAGCACAAATTGTTTAAAACTCCTCTTCTTCTTCCACAGGGAGGACAGTGTCGACGTTTGGGATACGATTTCCAGTGCACTTGCCCTATCGACCGCGACGGCAAGCTGTGCGAGCTTGAGAGAGGCGATGCGTGTGCCAGCAATCCGTGTCGGAACGGGGGATCGTGCAGGAAGAGCCCGGACAGCTTCAGCTTCTTCTGCCTCTGCAGAGCGGGCTACAGAGGAAATCACTGTGAAGCAGTCACCGATTCCTGTCGACCGAATCCTTGCTTGTACGGTGGCTTATGCGTGGGAGAAAAACCTGGGTTCGTTGACCCTTCAAATACGATTTTAGTTGGCATGACCACGATCTACGCGCGGCACTTAATAATAGGGCGGTTTGTACGAAAGTGAAATAAGAATTGAAATGGTTGCCCGCGCAGATATCGATGTAGCTGTCCCGAGGGTCGTTACGGCCGGCATTGCGAGCGTTCGACTTTCGGTTTCGACGAGCTGTCGTACATGGCATTCCCAGCGCTGGACACCAACACGAACGACATCACCATCGTGTTCGCCACCACGAAACCAGACGCGTTGCTGCTGTACAACTACGCGTCGCAGTCGGGCGGCCGCTCGGACTTTGTCGTGTTGGAGCTGATAGACGGCCGAGTGGTCTTCTCGTACGGCGGTGCCAGAAGCGCGATCGGTACCGTTACCATCAAGACGAAGCGGCCGGTGTCGGACGGCGAATGGCACAAGGTCACCGCCACCAGGAACGGTAAAGTTCTCTCGCTCGGCGTGTCCACCTGCAGGGAACACGGCGACGTCTGCGACGATTGTAGACCCGGCGATCGTACCTGTTACGCGAACGGCGTGGGCCCGACTGGGTGAGTGTCCTATTAATTTTTCCAACAATAATATTGATAGCATCCTGGCAAGCACAGAACATTGCAGCAACATTACAGGAATATTACAACATTGCCGGCAACGTTGTTGCAATGTACTGTATTTGCTGGGTTTAGACTTCAAAATTTAAGAATGTACATTAATTCGCTATATTTGCAGGGCTCTGAACTTTAACAATAATCCTCTCCTACTGGGTGGCTTGGAGAACGCCGATCCCGTGCTGGAACGTCCGGGCCAAGTGCACTCTGACGATTTCGTGGGCTGCGTCCACTCGGTGTCGATAAACGGGAGGGCCTTGAATCTGACGAATCCGCTCGCGTCGCGCGGCGTGAAGACGACGTGCGCCAGATCGCAGCGGAATCCTTGCCTGAGAGACGAGCAGGACTCTGTGTCTGTATGCGGCGTGGATGCCCAATGTCACGACAAATGGCACCGAGTGACGTGTCAGTGCGGATCTTTGATCGCGCCCAATTGTCGCGGTGCCCTGGAACCCGTCACGTTGAGTGAAGGAGGATTTGTCGAGTTCAAGGTAAACCATTAATACATAATACTTTATTATAACCATTGTGAATATTTCATGTTGATACATTCAAATCGCTAATAAGTGCAATAATGAGATCATAATATTAAATGCCAGTGTATCTATTACATATTATGTTGTAAATTTGATGTTAGATGTGAGATGAGATGTTAAATAGGGTTGATGATTTCCAGAAATTTGATTAGTAGAAAGATTAAAATATTCAAGTTAGAAAATGTTCATTACTTTAACTTCGTTAATATTTCATTCCTATTTCTGAATAATTTTGAATTGTCACGATTTGTATATTGTTCGCGCAGATTTCGGAGAAACACAGAAGAATGCAATTATTGGAATATATCTATAATGGTTCAACGGCATGGTATAAGAACCGCGTTAAGCGCGAGGACACGAGCTCTTCAACGAATCTTTCTCCCCCGAAGACAATCAGTCTAATGTTCAGAACCGTGAAGCCCGATGGTATCCTGATATACGCCGCGACGAATAAGCATTTTACATCCGTGGAGGTGAGTTGCATTTTCACTTTTCAAAAACAATCAGTTCTCAAGGATTGTTTAAATACCATCGAGAATTAATCATATTTTGAAGCAAACAAAAATGAACACATTCCGAGAAACTTTGACTCTATTGATTGTCAGATCGTAGATAAATGTATAAAGAACGGACAGTACAAATGATGTAGATAAACAAATCCATTTTGCAATTTAATTAACGCGACTATACTGCGTTTCAGCTTCGCAATGGCCAGTTGATTTACATGTCTCTGCTTGGATCACCGGTGAACATGTCGATCAACGTTGAGGGTGGTCTCGCAGATGGACGTTGGCATAATCTGACTCTCCATGCCTACGCCCGAGGATTAAGACTGTTGGTCGATGGTACCCTAACAGGCGACGAGTTGGATTCAGCAGGGGTCCACGATTTCCTCGATCCCTATTTATCCGTCTTGTCGATCGGTGGAGTCAGCCAGGACCTCTATTATGCTCACAGCGCTGGTTCGAGGAGTTTCGAAGGTTGCCTGGCCAACTTTACCATCAACAATGAAGTGCAGTCATTCAACGGCTCCAGTTCAATCTTCAAAGATGTGCTTTATCACGGCAAAGTGAGCACCGGATGCAGAGGACCGACCGGCATCGGCGCGGCCGCGGCTGCGGACCCCCTCAGTATTGGCATCACTCTGGTCATCGTCTTCTTCGTCATCCTGTTAATCGCCATTCTGGTGAGCTTCATAGTGTTCCGACTGCGCCGGCAGAACAAGGAGAAGTCGGCGCCGTCGGTTGTCAACAAGAATACCAATGCCATCATGACCGGCAATCCGCTGGTCGGCCCGGGAAACGACAATCTCATGTCTCGGCATGAGAACACGTACATCTCCGACACGTCGGATCTGCGCGGCGTCGGTCACATGGGTCCTGAGCTGATCTCGAAAAAATACAAGGAGCGCGAGATCAACTCTACCACCGAGCACCGGCCGCAACGACCAGATATCATCGAGCGGGAAGTCACCAAGTCGCCTCCTATCCGCGACGAGCATCCCCCGTTACCACCGCCCACCCAAACCTCTCTTCATTCGCACGAGCATAATCCGGAACCCGACATCCCGGAACATTACGATTTGGAGAACGCCAGTTCCATCGCGCCCAGCGACATCGACATCGTATACCATTACAAGGGTTACCGCGACGGCATGAGAAAGTACAAAGCCACACCACCTCCCATAGGTGAGAAAGGACTAATATTTTATCAGGGAGAGAAAAATGTAAAAGTTTAGTGTAAAAATAACGCGTTAGCCATTGAGTCCTAAAGTTGATCTTGTATTAACAGATGTGATACTTAAAATAATTTAATCGGCTTAAATAGAAATAATTTTCACAGGTAATTATGGCAACCATCATAAGCACACGGGGCAACAACATCGCCACACCGGACCCTTCCCACCGCGAGCTATGCCGCCGCCGAATGTGAATCAACCACCCGGACCGGCGCCCAAATTGCTCCAGAGCACTCCTCTGGCGAGATTATCTCCCAGCAGCGAGTTATCCGCGCAACAACCGCGGATTCTCACGCTGCACGACATCAGCGGGAAACCGCTGCAAAGCGCGCTGCTGGCCACCACGTCCTCATCCGGCGGTGTCGGCAAGGACGCGTTGAATTCCAACAGCGAGAGGAGCCTGAACTCGCCCATCATGAGTCAACTGTCTGGCTCAACCGCCAGCAGGAAGGCACCGCAGTCCAACAATGAAAACTCGGTGAACAACGTGTCATCGGGTCCGATGGGTCTCACGGCCGAGGAGATCGAGCGACTCAATTCCCGTCCGAGAACGTCTAGCCTGGTCTCCACCCTGGACGCCGTAAGCTCCTCCAGCGAGGCCAGGGGTCCTCCCGCGCACGGACCTCTCCATCACCACCGGCGTCACACGCCCCCCGTGGAGAGGCTCGAGCGACGGAACTCGTCGACCACCGACGAGAGCGGCAACGACAGTTTCACCTGTTCGGAAATCGAGTACGACAACGGGTCACTGGTGGGCGACAAGCGGTCCGACAACCTGTTCGCCAAGCAGGACGACGAGGATAGCAGCCCGCAGGGACGGAATAACGTCGAGTCGTCGCAGTCAACGAAACCACCGCTGCCGCCGAACGTCGGTAACTACGACGGCTTTGACAGTTCATTTCGCGGCTCCCTCAGCACCCTCGTTGCGTCGGACGACGATCTGTCGACCCACATGGGCGGCCTTCTCTACGGTGGCCACACCAGTAACGGCTCGCCTACCACCACTACCACCACCACCACCGCAGCCGCCGAGGACGCTCTCAGCTGGGACTACCTGCTCAACTGGGGACCCAACTTCGAGAGCCTCGTCGGCGTGTTCATCGACATCGCCGAGCTGCCGGACAGTACCAGTCGAGTGCCCAGATTACCGGCGAATATCCCCAAGCCGTCTGAGGAATACGTTTGAAACGGATCCTCAGGTACGAGGCCGGGACAATTTAGTGAACAATAGTAGTTTAGTGACCGTAAGAATTATTTCGGGGGAAGTGTAGAGACTCCTCGCCCTCCCTCGAGGAAACGCGCGACATCCACTTAGGAATGTTATCGAATTATTTTGCTGCGCCCGTTTAGCTTGATTAGTCGAACGTTTGTAAATCGAATAGTTTAAATAGCGACATCCAGTATTGCGGGCTTGGATGACCGAACGTGGTTTTGAGTCATGCGAGAACACGTTTGAGAAAAATGCTGGCGAAGAGCGTTCGTGAAAAGTCGTTGCAACGTTTAGGCCCGGTCTACAATGAGTCGTTAGTCAGAAGTCGCAACTATATGTTGATCCTTTTCCTTTCTGGGTGGAAGAAAAAGGACCGACATATAGTTCCGACTTCTGACTAACGACTAACAACTCATTGTAGACCGGGCCTTAGGGATTGCAGCGAGGTGCCGCGTTGAACGCGTGATCATCTTGCCATAAAGCGTAAAGAGGGAGAGACTCGCCCGTATTTCTCCCATCGTGCACACGGGAGAGACTCGTTGTTTTATACCGTATTCCTTTTCTCGTGAATTCTTTTCTTGTAAATATCGAATGACACATGTTTAATCAAAACGATTCGCTCGCGCGGAGCGCGCAATGTCTACTCTTCAGCTACACGACCCAGCGAGAAATGACTCAATCGACGTCGAAACGATGTTGAATCGACATCGTTTCGACGAATCATTTCTCACTGGGGATTGCTCGTACCGCAAAAATTGTCTATACGACGTAATACCACGTATTATGAATCGGAGAGTCACTCATATTTATGAAATTAATATTACTTCTAATATTAATATTAAGATTTTTAGATAATCGCGCGATTTTAAATAATCGATATTAATATTACGAATAATATTAATTCTCGTGGTATTAAATGTTGCTAAACTTGCGCATTTCGAGCGACCGCGCGCGATATTAAATATGAAATACGCGAGATTACGTTGAATGCCATTTTAATTACGGCGATTTATCCGTCGCCGGCGAGATGGAGAGATGTGCGACTGGGCATCGAGGCAGTCCAATTAATTGTTAACTAGCGACTTCTGTATACATATATCCTAAGCTGTCGTGCCAGATACACACTTGATGCAGTCGCACACTATAATTATATTGTTTGAATGGCTAAATGGTACGTAAGCACTTACACACATTTCGTGATTCTTAAACTTTTAATCAAAAAATTTAAGGGTCCATTTATTGAAATTGCAAATTGAAGAAATTTTTAGAGTACGTAGCAACATTTTTTTTATTACAATTACATCGCACTTGTACTTGTATTAAAAATTAAATTTTCTTACCTTTTATTGAACATTGACTTTTTAACAAAAATAAAACATAAAGATATGATAAAAATATTACAATCATGACTTCTTGGAATTGTAATTTCAATAAGTACTAACGTTGTTTTCCAATTAGTTTTGAATTTTTGTGTATTATCTGATTCTAATATAAACGTGATTATTTTGTTAAACTTTCTTTGCTTATGCAAAGTACCGTAGTACATGTGGCATTCAGCCATTTGACCGAAAACGCGGCGGTTTGATTAGAAAAATGCCTATCGAGGTAAGGGAGCGAGTTCGTCGTCCCAAGTTACAGCTTTGCCGGTTCTTGGACCGCATAGATAACGGAACGCCGCTGATGAACGGGATTGTCGGACTGTCGTGTAACACCACGTGGACGACGACGTGATTCGCGGACGTGTCAAATTCGTGCTCAATTCGTGTTCGTTAGAGGACCAATAACGGCGCCGTCGTAGCGTTCCTGAGAGTGGCCTGCTGCTCCGCAGGCCACCAGACTGATTTTCTCCTCTCGCCAAACGACGTTACGCGATCGTGAGAAACGGCTTCCTCGACGATCGCCTTGCGCGTTTACGTTGTAAATTATATGAGATCTGTCTTCGACCTGATTTCACTTTGTAAATAAAGGCGTGCGTGTAAAAGCTGTACAAAAGTTGCGAATGTGTGCGCGAGAGTGTTAGGGAGTGCGTGCTAATTTTATCATCATCTACCGTAAAATAGATGACAGATTTGTAAAAGTTGCTGCCTTTATTTATTTCCCTTCTTCGCTCCTTTAGATTTTTATGTGTAACGCGAAGCAAGATTTTCTGATATTTCCAATATTTTTATGAAAATAGCTATTTTTATATGTGCAGCATTGTATATGAAATACTGAATGATCATTTTTCATTTCTTGTCTTTCAGGATCTTCACTGTTTAAATATTATCATTTATTCAAAGAAATGGAATTTCAATGGAAGCTTATAGCGAATTCGGTTGCTCGCACTAATGCGCACCGAGTTCACATTAAGGCTTGTTCACAGTCAATTCTTATATTTAGGGATGGTCTTAAATATGTCTTGAAATATTTCTTAGCCAGTAAAATTATCTGCCTAGCATCCGTACCCTTATGGAAAAAACAGTCAAGTTGAAAAAAAAGCTTACTATCTACCACATATCGATAAGTCGCGATCGGCGCTGGCTTCGATCTTCATCTCTTGCGTACGTTCCGATACTTTTGTCAAAACGGTCAGAACCGATTGATTCCATCGCGTCAAATTACTTACTAATTACTTTTTTTTTATCTATACGTATTAGTGTCTATTGTTACTTGTTGACTTGAGATCGAATTTTCGGTCGCTCCGTGAACAAAGTACGAGAAGGTTTGCGCCTTTTTTTTTTCAACGCGAGAGTTTCGCCGGCCTCCCGGCTCGTCGGGCCACCGGAATCCGATATCAATCGGTTATAATGTACAGATAATGATATCTCCACTTCCGTCATACGACGACGAGCTCCTGAATAGCGCTTACGCAAACGTCAGTTTGATCGCCGACAAGACGTGGACCTTCGATCCCGAGGATCCCTTCCGAAAGTTAAATCATTCCCTCTGGATTCAAGTGAGACGCGCAACAGATACTTAGATGTTCGAAATATCGTATTTTAAAGCTGTATCCTCAAACGTCTGTCTTATCAGTATCGCCATCGTTTATCGTGGGCCCGAAGACATTTTATCCTTAAGGGAAGAAAGGAACTATCGGCTCTCTTTCTGCCATCGAAACCACCGTTACTGAAAATGGCAGAATTACAATACACATATACACATATGTTTCTTTTTGAAAATAAGGGAAATTATATTCGGGACCACAAACTTATTCTATATCTCGTGCGTCGGGGATAAAAATACGGTTGCGAATTGTTGAAAGTAAAAAATAAAAGCTACCGCGTGTGTACCGTAAACGCTACAGACTCCTCGGAGTAAGAGGAAGGAAAATTTATTTTGACATAATGATAACTTATCGCGCGCGTTTAATGCCAGAGTTGCGAAGTAACCGCGAAGTACGAGGAATATGGTGATTATCGTCCAAGACTCGTCCGAGACGTCATCTCCGAATCGCGCTTGGCGAAATACGGTAATTACGAGTACGACGAGCAACATGAGAGAATGTACAGTCCGGACGACGGTAAATCGACGGGTAGCGTGCCTCGTCACTTCCGTTCGGCTACGGAGGCTGTGGAGCCGTGGATGCTTCCTGAGGTTGAAGAACACTTCGCCCGGTTAATCTCGCCGAGCTGCACGCGATCGCATCGGGAACCGTTAGTTCACTTCGGCACTTCCGTGTTATCTTTACGTTCCGCAAAGCTCTGCCCGCCATAAAATTTCGCGATAAAGATATCATCGGGATGCAATAATTAATGGCTGCGCTGGTATTTAATCAAGGCTGATGTATTTAAGTCGCGTTTAGTGATTAATAATATAACGTTAATTGCCGTAACACGGATTGCAATTAATTAAAGTCCATTGATTGATTTTAACGTCGCAGACGTGAAAATACTATATTTAACGGCGAATGGATTTTAATATCTCGTTAATAGTACGTTCAATTTGCAAAGCTCAGCAATACAAATGCTAAAGTGTAACACCGCAAGGAGGGATAATGAAGCCGTCGCTTGCTCGAACTTCCAATCGGACTGGAACGAGAGCTCGAAAAAGCGACGCCAAAAGACCAGTCCAAAAGGAAGCCGAAAAATTGGATCGCGCGATGAATTACTTTCGACTCGTAAATCGGACGACGGTGGTGAGCAGTGGTTTCACATGTTAACGATACAAATAAATTATACACCCGTAAATTGCACATCCGTGCGGATTGCCGAAAACAGTAGACAAATAATGGCTCCGTCTTTCAATTAGTACTTCAGCCAAGACTTCAGCCATTATTTACTCTAATTATCTTATTAATTACATATTTACTTATTTATTAGTCACTTGCATGTTATCTTGAGTTAAAAACAATCTTTAATTCAAACTATTCGAGATACAATCTGATATAAATTCCTGTCGAGATATTGAAAATACGCACGGCGCGCACAAAATAATTCAAACGTCTCAAAACCAGCTTTCGAGTTTAAAGTCTCGTACTATCGTCTTACGCTTCTTTCATTCCTTACGTATTGTGCGCTATATTAGATTTTCGTGAGAAATCAATCAAAACGTTCGCCCGCCATCGCCGATACACCGTCGAGACCGCCGCGGAGATGCAGCTGCAGTCCTGCATCGAGAGCGACGCTGTACGCGACATATGGAACCCAGAGAAGTTTCAGCATCCGCGTCAGCATCAGCCGCAACCGCAGCATCAACAGCAACCGCAACAGCAACAGCGATACTATCAGCAGAGCCAGCAATCGCGAGTCGTCCGGCAGACGCAGCCTGCTGCTCAGCAATTCTACTGTGCGTTGCAGTATCAACCCTTGATCCTGAGAGCGGAGTATCAGCGGAAACCGCTGTTGTCACCTCCACCACTACCATCACCATCACCACCGCCCCCACCGGTTCTGAGCGCCGAAGTTCCGGAATTCTTCCCCAAGTCCAGCCTACCTCCGATAGTCTACGGCCTGAACAGCGACAAAGAGCGCAAGACTTGCCAGATACGCTACTTCCCGTCGTTGAATGACAGGAATTACCAGAACGAGCTGTTTCCTTACAACAGGCCGCAGCAGCTGGAGACCGCGGCGACCGTTTTTCCGGTAAACGTACCCTAGTAGCGCACAGTGCATTGGCTAAACATTGGTCCAATGTTGGTTACAGTAGAAATCGCATTGGCCGATATTGTACAACGTAAAGCCAATATTGGCCATGGAATAAATGTTAATATTGCACGATAATAATTATATAATATTAGATTTATACTGAAAGTGCATTAGCCAGTATTTAACAATGTAATAAGAATATTAGACCAATATTGCTTAATAGACACCTTGGCTAAATAAGAGAAGAATGTATTTTTTGATCGCGTTTACATCCCAACGAGAAATAGGGATCGACATCGTTTCGACGAATCATTTCTCACTGGAGCAGTGACCAAAAACTGCGACGTAATCAAAACCTGACTGCATTGTACTCGGGAAGAAAAACTGTCATGTCGCGCTAGAATAAAATTAAGATTTAACGCGGAATAGCTTTCTCCGTCAACAAAAATGATTGTGAAATTGATCACTATTATAAAGTGACGATTAAAATATAAAAACTTTTAGCGACGCGACTTTTCTTTCCAGAACGCCAGAATGTCCGCACCAACGACAGAGACGAACGTGTTTTGTTCGCCGCAGGAATGGATCCAGAGAGTGGCACCACCCATGCAGCTGCAGTTGACAGCGTCTTCCTCCTCGTCACCTCTGTCAATCTACACGCCGCTGCAACCGATTCACGATGCTGCGATCGTCCATCGTCCCTTGCAGGTGTTTTTTGACATTAAAAAAAAATTATTTTTATATATTTTTTAATTTAAAAAGATGAAGATTAATCCAGACAAAATTTGACGAATCTATTAATGGTCCCAAAATGTCGTTATATTATAACTCATACATTTGAAAAGAAAGACAGGAGGAAGACAAAGTCATTTATATTATCTACCACTGTCTCTTCCACAATTTTTACAATTATTATAAATTTTCCTAAATTTAAATCGATAAAGGCACATTCCTGTTAGCAGTTTCTACGTATAAAAGTTCGGATCGTAATGTTGCAGATGTACGAGAAATTTTTGCCTTGTACGCAGCCGAATTCGACGACACCTATACCCGTGTACCAACGACCGATGGAATTGTACCAGGAGCCGATGCTAAAGCGAAAGAGTCAAGGGGTCGACTTCAACAATCTCATATTACTGACGAAGAACAGCATCAAGACGCGACGCGGCTACTCCAAGCCCGCTGTTCAGCAGCCTTTTCTTCTGGATTCCAGGCAGAGCCTGAAAACTTCCAGTCACAACGTGCAGGTACAGTGGTTCGACAGGGATCACTGTGCGAAGAGAGCGAAGGAGGTCGTGACCGTAAACACACTCGTGTCCGAGCTGCGCAGCTTCGAGGAGAAGTACGAATATTGCAGAGAAGCCGGCACCAGCTGGAAAACAGCTGCCGAATCAACGCAGGGCCAGCAAAGGTCGTCCGAAACTTCATTCCGGTTGAAGGACAGAATCTTTGGGAACGAGAGCTCGAGACGCAGATCGAAGGACAAATTCTTTGAGAACGAGAACTCAAGGTACAGGGCTTCGGAGGCCAAAGAGGAGAAGAGGACGAAGCGGCCGCTTTATAGAGATGTTCTGGCGAATACCTCGAATGAAGCGGCCCTAGATAACGTCTTCGAGAAGAGGTACATTGAAGTTTCGCCGATTTAGTTTTACAACTTCGGTTGATTTGACCGATTGTTCGCAATTTCAGTGTTTCGTGGGTTTTCAGATACGACGAGCTCGAACAGCAAGCGATGGAACAGTACAGTAACTCGGAGGAATCGCTAGCGCTCAAATATCAGGCAACGATTCAAATTTGAATATTAATTTCATGGCTAGATATTTGCATCAAAGATAGATGGATTGAAAAGAATTTGCAAGAATACAAGAGCCGCCCGATCTTGTAAATTTCGTAATATCAGGGATCGGATTTAACACAAATAAGCTGAATTATTGTGGTTTCTTTTACAATATATAATACTTTCCAAACGACACTTCGCAACAGGAAGGAACTAAGTTTTCAATCAGTATCCGGGAATGTTCAGTTTTACCAAATACGTCCTTTTTAGCCTATTATTTACACACTAACATCCTGTCACGGCTCGTCAGCCCTTATTCCTTCAAATTTGTATTTATCACGTATGAGCCTTGCAAATTTTATTAATTTGCATTCTTTCTGTTTTCAATAAACTAGCGTTCATACGAAATAACATTACGCTGATATTTGCATTACGATATTGCAGGAATTGGAACGTCAAGCGATGGAACAATACAGAAATAGCAACGCGGGAGAAGAGAAGCGCTCGACGGATCAAGATTGTCTCGATGGGCAAAAATGCTCGAGATACGGACACTGTAGTCCCGTGAAGGGACATCCGGAGAAGAAGGGTAAACATAGCGTTTCCCAAATTATAATATGTCGGATGACGTTTAATATTCTCCGATTAAAAATAACGATTTTAAATAACAATCTGTTAGACTCCTGTTTTCCACAAATCACTCTGTTGAAGCCGAAGGGTAAATCCTTACCGAACGTCTGTCACGGATTATCGTGCAATGGCAGTAATCGTCAAGCAGCCATCGTTTCGAGAAGTTTATCTGCATTGCCGGACGGATCGTCGAAGGAATCGAAAAACATATGTAGGGGTGCATCAGGAGATAAAATCGATACGAATGGTAAGTTAATTATCAGCCACGTAACGTAAGAGTGTCGTGGTCTAGCCAGACAAACTTGCATAGCGCATAAACGTATGCATAAGGAACCTGATTGGGTCATAAGGAAATAGACCAATCAATTTCTTTATGTATATGCTTATGCACCTGTGGAAGTTTGTCTGGATAGACCCTTGAAGATAAATATTCCCGCATTCTGAATCCTCTTTTATCGATAAAAGCGCCTCTAAAAGTGGCTTGTAGCCAATCAGAAGACTTTCGCCACTTTTAGAGGCGCTTTTATTGATAAAAGAGGGTTCAGAATATGGGCCAAAGTATGGAAGCAGCAGAAGAGGTAATGCATAACGAAATTATTTGTCGTAGTGATATTAGATAAAATCTTCTGTTGTTGAATAAAATCTTTTTCGTTACTTTAGGAACATTCTGTTATGCGCCAACATTTAATTGTGCCAATATAAGCACTCCGTTTTTCTAAACGCTTTTCACCGAGCCTGTATCAGCGCGATTTAAGCTGCATTGTCAGGAAACGGTTTCAATATTGTTAATTTGATTTTTAAAGTTTCAGTTCGAGCATCGTTGAAGCGGCGTCTGATACTGATGTCACCCTTCGAGCGCAAATCAGAGGCCAGACGAATAATGAAAGCGACGGAACTGCGTGGTATTTGCTCGTTCTCTCAAACAAAAAGGATGCTCGACTATTGCCGGACCTCCGAAATCGCCCAGAACGGTAGCGGTGACGAAAATATTACTATCATGCAATCGCCGGGCACTAAAGGTAACTGCATTAATAGTCCGAGAATATACAAAGTGTGACGCTGCATACATAAAACATCATGTTATTATATTAATATTTTTATATAGAGGAAAGTCCTCTATTATAAGATAGGTTTCTAATATGAAATAGCAGGTTTTCAACACCCAAATTCAATCACAATCTTTTTTTCGCATCGATTACACAATGTAACAATGAATTTTTCCACTAAACAGATTTCGCTCCAATAAATTCACAGTGGAATCAACTGATGATGCGTATTAATTTAACAGAAATCCCGCTATTCCATATTAGGATCCTACCTCATGATATAGGAGACTTTCCTCTACATATAAATCATTAATGTATGTTATTCTCTTTATAACTTTGTATTAGTTTTTTAGTACCGTTCTAAGTACGAAATAATTAAATTTATAAGCAGACTTCGTCTTTTCTCTTACACGGTGTTGACGCAAACAAATACAAATGAAAAGGCTTTGCGATTTAACGTTTTCAGTTTGGCTGTCCGGATTCTGGACCACTTAAGGGAAATTCAACGAATTTTCTTGAGAAAAATTAAGCTACCAAGACTCTTTCGCGAAGACAATGTCGGTGAGTTGAACCAAAGAAATTCTTCAGACATAGAAAACAAATCGTGATTTGTAATATAATTAATATTATAGGCGCATATTATAACCACGTATGTATGGGAAGTAAGTTATGGCGCATTCATGTGATACACATATATTGATATATAATCGACAAGACAGTTTGCATAAATCTTTTCAAATTATTGCTTGTAAATAGTGACCAGATACTTGCGAAATGCGCTAAGCATATCTATCTGTTCGTAAGCACTTATTATATATATATTTTTTTATACTATAAAATACAATGGTATAAAAAAGGGTATGGTAACAAATCTGAACTAGCTACGTTGTTCGATATCCAAAGGATACACGATACAGTTTATCGAGATCTAAGTAAAATTAAATCTTTTTAGGACCTATCTTTGGAAATTATTCTTTTTCAGTCTTCACTACTTAACTCTCTGAACTAGCCTGTCGTGTAGATTGTAGATGGTAGTACCCCAGTAGTACAGTACAAATAAGACATTACAAAATGTAGATATAAAAAGTCTTATCAAAGACTACGCGGTAAAAAATATTGTCCGTCTCTTTTCACGTATAAATATACTCTGCCTTTTACACACACGCATGCACATTTTTATACGACATGTAGCAGTAGAGTAATTAAATATCGCTACGGCTACATACTTTTAGAATATTATAGGAGTATCTTTTATGTGTAATACAAGATTTAAAAAAAAATTGAATCTCTCTTCTACAACGAAGCGAGTTTACCAATTATCAAGAAACTCGAATCCAGTCTTTGGTATACTTCTCTCTTCCTCTTCCTGATTCAGTTGGGACGACTGGAAGCTGCTGTAGGAGCTGGGTGTCTCCAGCAGAGCGGTCGACTCGTTTATGTCGCTCGATTTCGTTCGCGACGTCACCACCAGAGTATTCGATTGACTCTTGTCCGTGTCGGAGTCCCTCACCAAGCTCTCCATATCGTCCTCGATGTCGCCTTGTAACTTCAACAAGGAGGTCTTATTGATCAGTTTAGCAAATATGCTGTCGGAAGGCTCGCTGCCGATTCCGCTCGTCAGCAAGTCGTCGCACTGGTCGTTCTCGAACAGACTGCTGGCGTAACAGTCCGACGGATAACAACTGACTTGATGCGCGGAACTGTAGCTATCGCTTAGCGAACAGTTGTTTCTTTGCGCCATCGCGGGGCTAGAAAAAAGCGGCGATTCTCCAAAGTGGGTCCTCATCGATCTGGACTTTGCGTCCTCGCTGGAGTCGACCAGACTGAGATTCATCTGCGATTGAGTCATGAATGAAAACGGCGCGGAGTGCTCGTCTCGCCATCGCAGTGTCTGCAACACGGTGAAGAAACGGTTGTCAGTTTGCCGTCCGGATTCTCCCCACAAGTATCGACGACGTGCTATTGTACTCACGGAGCCGGTTTCGTCTATGACATATTTCATTCCGGTTTGTATGCGCAGCTTCGGATACCATTCAGGTAACTCCTTGGTCAACTCGACCTTCTTCAAGGTGTACTTCAAGGCTACCTCGGGCTGAATTATCGTCTCGTTGATGGCTTGATTGCGCTCCGCTGTGCTCAGGGTGCTCCATAGTCCCTCGTAGGCCTCTTTCGTGGCGGTTATGTCCTCGCCGATCCTCCGTGCTATGGGATTTATGCTGTGAAAGTATTCCTCCGCTCTCGCAGTAAGAGCGCTGGAACTCATTCCGTCCGAGGGCTGAAATACGAGCGTTTACTTGCCGATCGTCATCAGACGTGTGTAAAACGTGAAGAACAATCTGTCTATTGTCATAACATTGAGATAATATTTCGATATACATACTAGCTTGATTAATGTCACAAACAGAAGGAGCGGGCGTGTGTTACGTTGACATAATTATCCACTGTTTAGTACAAAATGACCGGATGAACGCTCGACGGGTGTCCCGTATGTAGAGCACGCGTGAACTGCCATCGTCGATCACATTCGCGAAAATGTAAGTGTGAAAACGAGCGTGTCAATCGAGAGTAATCAGGGAGATCGCCGAGGGGCCCATGATTCGTTTCTTGTTATTTCCTGTGCTTGACAGGAGAGCATGCTGGAACATGCCGCCATCGAGCGGTGGAGAAAGACACTCCGGATAAGCGCTTGGCGTAAGTACCCTTGTTGACGCGGGGAGTTGGAGCTCTGAAGGGTGAGGAGAATCTACCGTCGCGGCCATCTTGGTGACGGATATTTAGTGTCTATTGTTTTCGATAAATATTAAAGTTGTGATTATTTGATATGTATAAATAATTTTCGCGATTTGAAACTCTCGGAAATGGTAAAGAATTCTTGGAAATTTAGAGCGCCCACCTCTTTGCAGATCATGTTCTCTTGATACTTTACCAGTTTTTTCGCGATTTGAAGTTTGAAATTCTCGGAATTTTTGAAAAATTGTTGGAAATTTAGATTGTGTCATCTCTTAGCGGATTTTCGTGATTTCAAGTTTAAAATTCTCGGAAATAGTGAAAAATTTTTGGAATTTTAGAATTATATTTTTACTCGGTGACGAGAGTAATGGTAACTAGTTTCTTTTAAAAAGTAACTTTCCTACCCCTATTTTATGCACAGAGTAATTATAAGAGATGAATGAATTGACGTTGATGTAATTTTACAGTTTTTAAGGGAATAGGTAGTTTCTAATAGGTAGGGGAAATCACAATAAAATAGTCGAATGAAAAAAGTAACATGTGTATATTATTTTCTTCTTTCAAACGGGGATTATTTGAGCGAGTCGAGTCATTCGAGGAACTAATGAAGTCAAAATGCTTTCAGACACGTGAAACGAGAGATGAAACATCTCGGAATCTCGCTTTGTATTCGACTACAAAGGAACAAAATCATCAAATGTATATTCATTTAAATATATTTTAAGAGTTCCCTTAAAAACGAAAGTGAACAATACAATGCCCAACTGTTCTTACTTGTACATTCGGATTGCGACGGAAATATTCATATATATACATTATTCTTTTTATTATCATACACACATATACAATATTTTTATCAGTATCAGTCGCTTGCGATGATAGATCGTTTCTACAAATTTGACAGATAAATGGCTTCTTATTTCATAAATTAATATAAAGAATGATATATACGTAAAGAATAGTATAACAATATATTATGAAGGTAAGATAGAAAGTATGTAATATAAAGAATGAAAATACTTATTTGCGTATAACAATGTAACTAATAGGAATGATAATAAATAAAGGTTACATATTATGCGTATATGATAATATCTTTATAAAATATTTCTTAAGTATAAAGGAATACATTGTTAATCACTTTATCCTTCTTTTTACAAAATGTACAACTTAGTAAGTTGCGTTTTGATATTTTGTCACATACAAAATAAAAGCTTTCTTCTCCCAGCAAAAAATTGAGATAGTTTTCTCATCAACGTATCAACGCTGCGTTGTTTTCAGAATTGTAATTCTTATTAAAAGAGCCTACTCACCCTGAGCGTTAATCGAGAGAATATGTTTTTAAAAAATTAAGGATCGAACTGATGACAAATTTTGACATTACAAATAACAGTTCTTTTTTTCTAATGTTTACGATTCTTTTGGAAATAAGATGTTAAAATCTATCTCTGCCAGATTCTAATAAACGACATAGAGTTTTGCATTTCCGACCAAGTTTTTGGAAGTTACGCGCTTGATTCAAAATGCAAAAATCTGTGACAATAACATTTTAAGAAACATAATAAAATATTTAAAAAATTTCTTTATCCTTATAAAGAAATACAGTTTTAACACAAAAATGTCATCTTTTTTTATTTTATTATTTCTCAAAATTCCGTTGCCCGGCACACGAACAGTCAAAGTGAGTAAATCCTTCAAGATGGATATAACAATATTAGATATAATTTTATCAATAAACTCTTTTCAAGTATCATTTTTTTTTATTATCTGGCAAAATAATTCTGTCTGATTAGGTACATCAGCATAGTGTATCGCATATATTGCACATGTAAAATATTTTGTCATGTATTAGGTTGTACCACAACAAATTGTTGTATTTACTGGCCAACACAAAAATGTTTTAGAAAGTGCAAGTTTTATTCCGTACAAATATTAGCAGTAGGGTTTGAAGCTATCTAGACTCATATATCTTTTGGCAAGATTTATATTCTCAGAGTAAAATTTACCGAATCATTGAATCATTATTCAATCATTATTGAATAATTTTCAACATCAACCAATATAGTTTACTCTGAAAATCTTATTAACGTTTCTATCTGTCTAAACTGTATCATATTGCAATTTCAAATTTATATTAAAAAAAATATTCGCAATTCTTTCATACTGTGTCTAATTCTATAAGAGAGATTAAAGAAAAATGAATTCAATGATCAAAGAAAATTGTAAAGCTCAATACCGTTGCAAACTATAATAACGCAACCTGAAACATGTTTCGTTACAATTTTCATTCATTTTTATTCACTTGTCAACTTTAAACTGCTCGAATATCAATAATTTTATGTAGTACAACCCAATATTTTATACTCGATACTGTCAGTACAGTTTTTCGATGACAGAAAATTGTAAAACTTCGTATTAGGTATATCTTAAAGCTAAAGCAATGCGATAACAAAGATTTAGCAATGTATGCACTTTTTGCTAAATAATTTATACATAGAACATAAGTTTAGCTGAGAAACTTTTTCTATTTTTATTATTTTATTAAAAAAAAATATACAAAATAATTCATGGTTCAAGATTCCTTCTGTAATGATATATTACATTCCTCGTATTAAAACCCTTTAGCTACGAATGGCCACAGTGCATATTCACCGAGTACTGAGCTACTGTTACATACGAATGAACAATACAACAAAAATACGTACGAAGACGTTAAAGTGAAAATAAATTCCCAGACAATACGCGTGTCAAAAATATCTTTAAGATATCACAAAGACATCTCGATCTATCTTTTAAACAGTATATGTAAGTCATTTAAAAGATAACTTAAGAAGATTCCAAGAATATCTTTAGTATATTCCGAAATGTATTAAAAATCTATATAACGTGAATGTACATGATGTGAATTATGGCTTTTCAGTACCGTTGTACACTTCGGAATGCATTATAGCATGTATAGACCTACAGATTTTCAACGCTGTCAGTACATTTCGGATTCATCCTTAAACCTCTCAGATACGTACTGGTAGATTAGAATTCAACCAATCAAAATGGAACAGATTAAAACTATACTCATCCGATTAGTCGAATTCCAATCTCTAGTTTGCAATTCTCAATCTTCAATGTGTAGTCTAACATGGTATAATGTTAGACATATATCTAATATTTAGATACATATTGCTTGGATTATTGCAAACTATAGTTATTTCTACAGCAAACGAAATATGAAATAAAATAAAACGACAAATGAAATAAAATTAAAATACAGATATGGTCGTGCTGTTGCAAACAATCTCGAACTCCGGCAAAGCATACTAACGGTTCTTTCGTATGACGATAGCGTTTTCTCGGCTAGCGCTCTGCCGTAGCAAAAGGGTTGATTCTCTAGATTAACTGGATCTTAAAATCTTATTTTATCAAAATGTAGTATAATTTTAATAAGAAAAGTTTCATGTGAAGAATACTGTATTGCTTTAAGTCTACAAATATAAATTAACAAATTTTACGTCTAAGTCAGTCGTCAACCATTTTCCATTTGCAATGAAATAAAAAAAAATTCACAAATAAATCTCGCATATATTTCTTATATAAAGAGCATATTTCAGTATTTTCTTTATATACAAAACGTCGCGTTTATGACGACTTCACTTAAACTATATCACGGTTTTCTCTTCAGAAATCAGGACGTCTCATATGTCATGGTCATTGGCAATACAGCAACAAGTAAAGCAATTTCAATATAGGATGTAAAAACCAAAAAGGGTTGCGATTGCACACGTGGAATAGGCCGAATGCAAGTTTGTCCACAGTTACCCGTTCGATATATGCTTAAGAGGACCAAGACTTAATATAGAGGTAGCACCAAGCGCACCCAGATTGCAGGTGCTCGTGTTTCTCGCACCGTCTATCGTGATGATCGGTAAGCCGAAGTAACCACCAGTTTGAGCACTTAGCTGCGACAACGGTATGTAACTTTGAATGCCTAAGTTCGCCAAACGGTTCAGGACATGTGGCGACTTCAAATCCACGACCGGCAAAGCCAACTCCGTGCCTCCGTTTTGTGCCACGGTATCGACTTCCTTATGGTAAGCCTGTTTGTGCGTCGTCAACGCTTGAACTGTAGGATATTGAGCTGGACAGAGGTTACACCTTGAGGAGAAAGGAGAATTGATTAGTTCTATTCTCCCGTTACGTATTCAAAGGAAAAGAAACTCACGAGCAAGATAACTACAGCTTACCGGTGAAGTAGTTTGCTGGTTGTTCGATGAGTCGCCATATGTTGCGTTAACATGTCTTGATTTTGAAAGTTTTTATCGCATACCTGACACGTTAACAACGCTCTGAAAAGCATAAATATGTATCTTATTGCGCATCGAACTAATCGTCGATTAGCAAATCTAATAGCATAATTATGTAACAATCCGAGCGACAATGTAGACTGTCCTCACCTGGGTGGCCGACCACGCCTAACCACTGGCATCTGCGGCGGAGTGTCCTGCGTGAGATCCACGGTCGGCGGTCTCGGTGGTCGCTCAACTTGGTCATTGATTGGCGATTTGTTTTGCTTGTTTTGCGGAACAGCAAACTGCCCTTGTTCCTGCTGCTTTCTTTGTGAACTAGTTGGTATGATAGAAATAGCAGAATTCAGATTGAGCGCTGTAACATTTAAAGGCGGCTGTGAAGGTGGTAGCCTCTGCAGCTGCTGGGGGGGTATTTGCTTGTTTTGTTCACTTGTCTTATTTTTATTTGCAGCTGGAGTAACGGTTATACCTCGAGCCGCGAGGACATTTGCCACCGCCTTGGCGTCGGATTTCTTTCCCCCCGGATTCGACGTGTTCTGGACTTGAGCTGGGATGGAACCTTTAGATTAGTAAACAGACAACACTATTTTACTGTAACGCACCCCTTCTGCGAAGTAGTAATATGATAAAATTCTATTTTTAAGGATTCGTATTCTTTTACATACACTCAGTCCAAAAAAAAAGCGGTACACCTAAAATTTGTCAAACAATTACCAAATTTCGAATGACGATAACTACGCGAGTAATAATGATAGAAAGGTTTCTTAAGAAAAAAAAATTAAAGCTTGAAATCTCTACTTTAAGAATCGATACATCAGAGTTTGGCGAGATAATTTTTTTTCAAAATGGCGGATGACAAAATGAGGACATGCGAAATTGAAAAATTTTCGTCCGAGTTTGCGACGATCCATGGCGAGAGGCAAGTCTCCCCTTCGAAATGCTTTTTTACTCGTTTCGATACGATATTTCGCTGAGATATGCGCATTTAAAGTAAAAACCGGCCTTTTTTATTCAAATGCACATATCTCAGCGAAAAATCATCGTATCGAAACGAGTAAAAAAGCATTTTGAAGGGGAGACTCTGTACCATCGTATGCTTTTTATCCCATTAAGTTGCAACACTTGCCTCTCGCCATGGATCGTCGCAAACTCGGACGAAAATTTGTCAATTTCGCATGCCCTCGTTTTGTCATCCGCCATTTTGAAAAAAATTATCTCGCAAAACTCTGATGTATCGATTCTTAAAGTAGAGATTTCAAGCTTCAATTTCTTTTTTCGAGAGACCTTTCTATCATTATTACTCGTCATTCGAAATTTGGTGATTTTTTGACAAATTTTAGGTCTACCGCTTTTTTTTAGACTGATTGTGAGTGTACATTCGCAACACAAAACACAGCGAGCGAGAAAATATATCAAAGCAGATCTCACTAAAATTAAATTTCAAAATTGGAAATATAACAAACGTATTTTTGTTTTTCTGTAGAAGCAACTGAAAATATTGGACGAAATCACAAGAACTAAATTTCATAGAAGAGGCACTTTACACAGGCGCATTAAAAAAAATATATATATACAATATATAAGCAGTAGTAAAAACTTGAGCAAAACTATATTGATTACAGTCGAGCAGTCTTTTGATAAACTTACCAGGTTGCCGAACACTTAGAGTGATTGAATCTGTGAGGTGTATCGTAGAGTCGTTTCTACTAGTTTGCTGCGTGGTAGCCCCTTGAACATTTTGAATAACAGGTAGTCCATCATTTCTCTTCTGTTGAGCTATGACATGGCAGTCTGCATCTTCGTTTCTATCGGGCAACAGAACGTCCATACGTCTCTGTTTCACAGAGGTGTTGTTTTGCTGCACAGTTTGTTGCAAGGGCCTCTTCATACGCTGGCGAGGAACTGGACCGGCTGTTTGTGGTAACCGCGGCGCCCTGAAAATCAAAGGTTACCACCTAATGAAAATGCTCGCGTCTGCATGAGGGTTTATGCATTACCTGCTGTTTTGAACGACAGACGCCGGGTATCGTCCTCGTGGGACTTGTTGGGGTAGTTGAGGATGCATTTGCGGAGGAGGCGCGGCTAGTTGAGGATATGGACCCGGCCCATATTGATACAAATGCGCCATGTGCGGCTGATAATGTATACCTTGCGGGCCAGGTATTCTGTACAGCGGCGGCCGTCCTGGCGGTTGTACAAAATAATTTGGCGCGGGTATCATTGTGTTGGCTCCTGGAGGAAGACTAGGGGGCATTTGCGTCTGTGGAAGAGGCATACGCTGCACTTGCTGGGCCAGTTGCTGTACGGGTGGTGGTAGTTGTTCAAAGTTTACCGGCGGTATTTGCATTTGCTGGCCAGTAGCGCCGACCGTTGCCGCCGCTGCCACCGCCGCGTTAAACGTCGGCGAATTCGTTTGATGCGGCGACGTTAAGGGCGAGGTCCTGCTGAGCTGATGCGAGCCGTTTGTCGACGACACCTCGACGGGCGCGACGGAAACAGCGTGAGGCGAGTGCGTGGTTTGGCCTAAATGCGGCGTATTCGCGTTCGACGACAAATGATGAGGCGACAGTTGGCTCACGCTCGGCGAGAGCGGGGTACCGTGCACTTGCGCTCGATGTATCGACACCTCCATCGTAGAGTGGAAGATGAGGTGGACGCATTCCGGTATGTTACACTGATAGTGACCGGCTTTGCTGCGGTGCTCATCCAGATGCGCGATGTCCTTGAATTTCTCATTACAGACGCGACACGTATTGACGGTCTCCGCCAGTTTCTCAAGGGGCACGTATTCCGCCGTGTCGTTGGACATGCTGTTCGACAACGACACTTCGTTCGGATTGCGCCTCTGATGTTCAATGAGAAAGCTCTGCAAAATTGATCCGGCGCTGTCCATGTTTGCATCGCTGTCCCCCTGCTGTTCGCTGTCTTCCTTGTTGAAGTCCTCATTGTTCTTGCTTGACAAATCGGCGGACAGTTGATTCCAATTGAAACCTTGCGTCTGCGACGTGTCAGCCGATTCCCTATTCTTATCCTCATTGTCGCACACCGGGGCGCGTTCGGCCGTGTGGTTGGAAAATGTGAAGGACTTTGGATTAATGCTGATAGCAGGATTCTGTTCGAGGTTATGTATCATACTAGATTCGTGGCTTCTATCATCTTCCTCCTCCACCGACGTGCTGTCAATCAGTTGACCAGCTGACCTGGAGCTATAAAAAAACTAAATCCAGAAAGATATCGCGACTGAAATGTCTGTTAGTCGAGACACGAAAGTTTCTGCGAACAGTGTAAACACGAAGACCATCAAATATTTGCACTAGCTTAAAATTTATATCGAGAGAGCTTCGTAACGATCTCAATAAAGTTAGTATGAAACTTTCAAATTTCTCTGCTGATTCCCTACTCATCTCAGGCTGGAGTCTCATTTCGTCGTACAAAATTTTAAGCGTATCGATTGGCTGCTGGGTAGAACATTTCTAGATACTCGAGAATTTTGCTATCCTATAGTCAACACGCTTAAAAATACTTGTGCGACAAGTGAAATAGTATCCTTAGGAGGATCCCTCAGCCATCCTTTTTACCGATTCAGTCACATATAGTTTTTGCGCTTGTAATTCTTTTTATTGGCGCTTTTATGCACAAAGTAGTACCAACATTTTCATACTTAAAACACTCAGTTTAAAAGTAATAAAAAAGATATTGGTATTAAAAATTTTCAATTTGTAGTTTGTGTTGAATTCGAAATTGACTTAATAAAATTGCAAAATTCTTCTATACGATTTAAGTGCCATAAAGATAATTTTTAATTGTTCTTCGTTTTTTTATATAAAGTCGACAGTCCCTGATTTTGTCTTGCGCGTACTTTAATCGTAGAAACATTTTGTAATTTTATAAAGCCAATTTCAAATTTAACACGAATAAAAAATTGAAAATTTTAAACAGCAATATCTTTTCTATTCAACTTCTAAACTGAGTGTTTTAAGCATGAAAATGTTCCGCTATGCGGTCCGCAACTTGTATCCTGGTATTATCTTGTGCATAAAGGCCAATAAAAAGAATTGCAAGCGCAAAAACTATATTTGACTGTGTCGGTAAGAAAGATGGCTGAAGGATCCTCTTAGCCCGGGTCTACAATAGGTGTAGTAAGCCTTAAACCGTAAGAAATTGATCAATCACAAGCGATCATTCTCCTCACTTCAGAATGTGATTGGTCAATTTCTTACGGCTTAAGGCTTACTACACCTATTGTAGACCCGGGCTAAAGTGGGACAATTCCACAGTAAACTCTATACTGTATCGGAAGACCTACTGCTCTCTTGAAGAGTGCGGGCAGAGTGAGACAGACAAATGGTTCCAATCTCTGTCCAGATCGTGATTGGTCAACGATTTTCTATGCCACTTACAAGAGAAAGAGTTGGAACCGTTTGTCCTTTTTCAAGGGAGCAGTAGATCTCCCAATGTAACATAGAATTCCCTGCGATTTCCATCTTGAGGCCTGTGTCCGCGATGCTAGAACTTGGTCCAAGTTCTAGTTCCTTTCTAGCTTTTGTGGAAGAGTTGCCGGTTGATTGGCTGCACATTTTCCGGAACTAGAACTTGGGACAAAATTTTAGCATCGTGGACGTAGGCCTTTACGATCCAATACCGTATTCCGCCAACCCACCTCGACTGTTCACCGAGTTTCTTCAAGTTCTCAATAGTTTCCCTGCAGGTCGCCTCCAAGGCGTCCGTTTCCTCGTGATCCTCAGATTCGGAGAGCCTCTTCTCAGAAGCGTCAAAGTTGTCGGTGCTTTGTGTATCTTCGGCATTCTGATCATCCTTCTCAGACGGATTTGCCATATCACTCCCTACATCAGAGTCACTCTCGTTGATATCTGCGCTTGGCCTCTCATTCTCTTCCAGAGGATTGTGATGGTCGGTGTCCAACTTGACGCTGTCGTAATCATCCTGCAAATGGGATCGCAATGAGAGATGAGAAAGGTCCCAGGGGGGCCCAGCGTCGCGCCGCTCAAAGCAGGGAAACACAACTAGATTTTCCGGAAGGTCAACACGTTAAATCTGAGACAACACCGCGAGCCACAACAGCTAAATTTACAACTTTTTGCCTTCTTTGTCTCAACTACAAAACAGTACGTGGAGGTGAGGCAAGATTGAACCCCCCCCTAGATGTTTTCATTGGGTCAAGCTTGGACGTCTCGGACCGGATCCAGTTGTGTATCTCTGGCCTAAAGGACTCACTTGTTGATCCACCATCACGTTCTCAAAGGGTTCGTTGATCGTGTTCTCCGCTGCCTTGTCGCCTCGCGGATCATTTTCCTTGGCACCTGCCACGTCTCCCTGCTGATAATACTTGACAACTGGATAAAAATTATTGTTCACTACGGTGAAATCTTCCGACTGCGAGGACTTCTTCAGGGTGAGCTTGAGGGAGTCGGGTGCGCACTGCTTCTTCAGGGTCAGCTTCAGCGAGCCGGTCCTCTCGGGGTCGAGCCAGTACGTGTCCCTCCTCACCTTGACCACCTTCGGGCTGGCCACTCGCCTGAGGACGATGCGCAGCTTCCTCAGGTGGGTGTTGATGTGAACGCGCAGCGGTTTCTTCGAGGTGAAGCGCTCGCCGCAGATGTCGCAATCCAGGAGCGGCTGCTGCCCGCTCAGGCTGTCGACGTCGGACGAGTTGAGAGTGCCCTCGCTCTCGTCTGAAACAGAACGCATGGGTCCCGTCACTAGACCTTCCCTGCCGAGAAGGTTACATCTTCCCGTGTCGTATTCGCGCGCGCCTGTATTTCATTACACCGCGCGCACGCACACGCACACACAAACACACACATACCCCGCGCACACCGGCGCCCCCCGTCAACACTACGTGCGTGTAAAGTTTGTTTGGTGCGCAGAAGTTACATCGTTCCCGCGGGGCGCGCGGAGTAGGGGGAGAAACAGAGAGTGGAGACGGAAGGGAGAAAGAGAGATAGACGGCTAGATTTACAGGCGGCGAACGCACCGAGACGGCACGGGAGGTGGGCGCGACACGGTCTCCTCGTCCACGGGACGTCGTCGGGCCGGGTCAGCCGCGGTTTGCCGCGCGCTCTCCGTCAAGCCGCTCGCGCGTTCGCTCGCGGCCGAGGGCTCCACGATCCTCGACACGACACACGACTCGCGATTGTGCGCGCGCGCGCTCGCGCGCAGTCACACACGCCGTGACGCCGAAGGGTAAACGTGGGGGAGGACGCGGCTTCGCACCGACACACGTCGCGGCTCTAACCCGGCTGTGTATACATATGTATATTTATTTACATGGGGCGGCGTAAACAAGTCGCAACGCGCGCGCGATCAACACGCGTCTCGGCGGCGCGATCGGTACACGATGCCCCCGTGTACGTCGTGCGGTGGCTCCGCGCGCAGCAAAATGGCCGCCCCGCCGCCGCCGCCGGAGAATAATTGCCGCTCTCTCCTCGCCGAGAATTGAAAACACGACTCGCCAATCGATAACGCCGGGGCCGGCCAGAGCGCGCGCCCCATTGGCCGCTTTCGTATCGGCGCGCGATTTCCCGCCGCCGATTGGCCACTCCGCCGCGGCGAGTTCCGAAACCCCCCTCCCCCATTCCTCCCCGCCCCCCTGCCTGCCACACGAAGCCAAAAGGAGTGCTCGCGGAGCGCTGGAACTCCCTCGCCTACTCGACCGACCGACCGACCGACCGACCGAATTTCAACCGTGAATGGATCGATCGCGCTTTCCGTCCCGTCCCGTCCCGTCTCGTCCCGTCCGGTTCCGTCCCGTCTCGGAAGAAAACGGAGCTTCCAGTTCGCCGGAATTCGAGGTACAAAAGTGCGGGTCTGAGAGGGGAACGTGACCATTGTGAAGAGAATAGAGGGGAAAAAAAAGAAAGGACTTCGAGGGTGACGCGAGTAAACACGACCTGCTCGCCTCGAGATGTTGGGAGGGAGAGCGACGCGAGGTTTACTCGGTAAAGTGAACGAGTGCGACAGAGAAAGAGAGAGAGAGAGGACGACGGGTCGTCGCAGTGTTGACGGTCGTGCCCGTCGGCGGCCTTCGTGGGCGCGCGAGGAGTCGCGGAGTCGCGCGACGTCGGGTGTTTACCGCGCGGCGCTTTTTGCCGCGTGTTTGCGAATTCCTAACCTGTACGCGGCCGACTTGGCGAGTCCCGCTCGGTCGGCGCCGGAGCGACCGGGACGGCTTTCGCGTTTTCCCACGTGGCACCCTTCGCGCACTTCGATCTCCGTCGAGCGGGAGTTGACGGAGACGACGCTGGTGCTCGTTAAAACGCACAAACGCCGAGTGACATTCATATTTACGACTTACGGCCCGTCTTTACCCAGCGCGGAGTAACTTTAATCTCGGTTTAAAGTACTTTGTTATCTGTCCCTGAGGCCCGTGGTTTGTTTTCTGTCCCTGCACTGGTGAACTAGTGCAGTAAGACAAGTATATATTTTCTCATTCTAGCTTACTGCACTAGTTCACCAGTGCAGGAACAGAAAATAAACCTCCGGTTTCACCAAACGTCGCTCAACCTTAATCTCAGCTTAATTCACGTATGTCTCCTTCTAAAGGAACAATTGGAAAGAGACAACGGACGAATTAAGCTAGGCTTAAAGTTAAACAACATTGGTGAAACCGGACCGTATTTGTGAAACTAGAAAAAGACGTGAAGCAAATTGAACCAAGATTAATAGGGAATTCGGCAGCTCGCACTAGTGCGCACTGAGATTTGCCTACAGTCAATTCCTATATTTAAGAAATGTCTTAAATACTACAGTAAAATGATCTGCACAGCATTCGTATGGATCTTTTTTTTTGTCTGAATACTTCTCGAACATGTACCTGAGATGACCATAAATATAAGAGTAGACTCTGAACAAGCCAGCGCAAGCTGCCGAATTCGTTATAACATTGAACCATAGTATAACTACCCATATAGCACAGCGACATCACAATGATATCAGTGTGATATCTGTTTAAGGATATCCCATATCCCAGAGATATCTTGAGATATTCAAATTACATCAGTGTGACATCACGGGAATATCCAAATGTCCGCCTTTTATCACATCCCAAGTTAATATCTAAGAGACATCTTTGTGATGTCCCAAAATAATGTTAATGTGACGTAACATGCAATGAGACGTCCTTGCGATATCTTTTTATCTAAAAAGATATCGCAATGATGACGAGTCAACATCGGTATCGTCAAATTGACGTCGATTCGACATCGATCAACGAATCATTTCTCACTGTGTCGTCATTTGTTTTGTTTTGCGTCGATCCCTGTTGCGCGTCCGACGTTGATTTGGTCAAACCAATGAGAGAAAAGTTGTATGGGTGGTAGTGTAAAGCCCGCTGCAGACGATGCCGTCGCGATTGCTTGCGATTTAGTAAATTACTAGAAATCCTGAGTGCTGAGTGGTGCAATGATAGTAATTTATTAGATTGCAAGCAATCCAGCAGGAAAAACAGCATCGTCTGCAGCGGGCTAAACTTTGATAAGTGCGCACACGCCCGCTGCATTGCTGACCAAAGCAATGGCGGAATACCACGTGATCGGAACGGCAAAGATCAAAGGGGTCTACTAGTTATACTATGGTGAAACTGTGTTGGTAAAAACGGGCAATATTTTGTTAAGAACATGGACATAGTAAATATAGACTGGGCGTCCCATTGAATAAGCTGAAGCTTGTCGAGAGAGAGAGAGAGAGAGAGAGAGAGAGAGAGAGAGAGAGAGGGAGCAGATTTAAGAAAACTTTATT